GAATGGCGCAGAATTCCGCAGGACAGAATTCGTACACTTATCCAGTCAGTGCCGAGGAGATGCAGAGCCGTGATTGCTGCCCGGGAGCGGTCACACGAGATACTGAGTTCAGCGCAACCTTGTGGCCTTTATGTGACATGAAAATAAAAAGGTTTTCAATGCCTTTGTACAACGACAACTTGTGACTTTCGAGCTCCAAAATTTCATATCTGTATCTATGATATTAAATTAAATATATATCGACTTTATTAGGTACAATAAATTTACTAAACATCTATCTGCGCGTTTTTTGTGTGAAGAGTGTAGATAATCATCGGACCGTCTCCTTGGTCAAATGTCCGCCCGTAAAGTGGAAGGTCCGGGGTCGCGTCTTATCAAATGTCGTTAAAATATGGTACTGGTCGGCTCGGAGTCAGTATACTGTGTCTGAGAGGGATTGGTTTGTTGGTTTGTTGTTTTACGCCGCACTCAGCAATATTCCAGTTATATGACGGCGGTCTGTAAATAATCGAGTCTGGACCAGACAGTCTGGTGGTTGACATCATGAACATCGATCCACGCAATTGGGATCGATGACATGCTTCAACTAAATCAGAGAACCTAACCACCCGGCCGTTAGTCGCTTCTTACGACAAGCATGGGATGCTGATGACCTTGTCTGAGTAGGGTATTTATGTTAACCTGCGGCGGCATAGTATCTAAGTGGGCGAGCACTATAATATCGGCATTCGTCCTGACTTGTACAAGCACACACACACACACACGCAGACGCACACGCACACGCACACACACACAGCGACGTTAAACCCCATTTCACCTCACCGATAACCATCGCCAGTTGACGTTAATGTTAAGCAACTATTCATTTCATTCAGATCTACACTGTATATTCCATTTAGTCATGTAGAAAAACAATCTGCACCAAGTGGTCACGGAAAGAAATTGCATTTCAGTGGTTTAATGCACCGAGTCGGAGGACGATCAATGTTTTGAACTAGCGTTACGTTTGTTTGCCGTCGCTTCATAGGCAGCAACTTCTCCTCCCCTCTGTGGTGTTCCAATAGCACCGCCAACTCTTTGCACTGCAAGACAGGCCCTTGCGGTGTCACAATAACTCTGTTGATTCTGTTCGCTGGTCGAGTGTGTCAGACACCGTTGTCAGCATTGCTATTACCATATCAGAAGTTGCTGCTATTTTAGCTCGCAGAGATCAGGGGTTCTAATCGAACTTTAATGTCAGGTAATGTTACTTGCAATTACCTGCACAATAGCCGACTTCGAAAGTTAAACGGTTCTTTTATTAATGGAAGCCGTTTGCGTGAGTGTGTGGCTATGTATTTAGTGCGTGATCGTGCTTTGAATTAAACACGAAATCCGAGTGCATCCGCACTCTAAGTATTGTAAATAATTACTGTGTTAAATGCCCATACTGTATAGTTTTAACACAAACCATCAGTCTTTGTTATTTGGAAGAAAACCTTGAAAAAATAAATAAAAATAATGACTGGTTATATCGATTTTATTATACTCAAAACCAACAGGGACCATTTCCTTTTTGGGGGCACGGGTGGCCCAGTCGTCTAAGGCGCCGCGATTCGCTGTGCAGAGTTGCGTCCCTTGGGCACGCCAGAAACCTATGATTGTAGGTTCGAATCCCGGTTCGCCCCGATTATGTTTCTAGGTTTGTCAGCACCATACCCGTGCTGGTGGGTCTCACCGAAGTGGTAAACGTCTGAGACCTGAATCACTTCAGGGTTTCCTCCAACATTAAGCTGACACGCCGTGATATGACTGGGATACTGTTAAAAGCGGCATTAAACCCAACTCACTCACTCCCATTTCCTTGTTCATGTTTAGTATTTTGGATGTTTTAGGACGAAGTGTATACTGTAGGGAACGTAGCTTTGCAGGAATGGCTACATCCAAGGACTCGTGAGTTTGATACGTGTTCGCGACAACCGTAGTTGGTTTATTTCGGTGGACAATCTGGTCTAGTTGTTCTCTTGCATTGACAATTTATTATACAGTACACTACGTTTATAACGAACACGCTTATAACGAACTGACGTATATAACGAACTGTTTTGGTGTATATATGCTTATAACGAACTACGGTTAAAATGAACTCAAATTAGTTGCCCTTTTAGGTTCGTTATAACCGTAGTTTACTGTATTTGCTATTTGGAATAAAGCGACAAAACCCTTTCCATATTCAATACAAATCTCTGCATAAAGCAGTGTCGATTGTACAAGTCCGACTATATCATGAGCATTGGTTTATGAAGCACTATCAAAAAGTAATGATACAAGGTGTTCGCGCAAAGGGGATCGTATCCTGCCCCACCGGCGGCATCAGTCACAAACACATGAAAAGGCAAGTCAGTTGTTCACCTGAAAAAAACATAGGAACATATGGTACAAGTCAAAATTGCATCGGACATTATTTTAATCACTGATCTGTCAAATTTGGAAATGTTCTTTACATGTCTACAATAAAACGTTTTTAAAGCTTTACTGAGGCCTTGAATGTTTTAACCTTGATCAAACAACTTATGAGCAAGAGTCGTGTGGCGCTCTTTGAAACCTTTGAAACTATTTGAACACCAAACCCCTCCGGGGAACAACCCACCGACTCCTCCAAAAGAAATTTTTAACAGTGAACACACTGCGAGCAAACTTTTATAAATTCAAAATCTATTTCCCCCTTGCTATTATAAGTTTGCATTTTGTTTACTCATCGATTTTGTTATTTTTCATTACTGCTCAATCATAAGGGGTAAATTGTGTCGTAGGGCCGCATACAACCTCAGAGGAATTCCTGTCGCTGAACCTGATCTTGTCCTTCTGATAAAACTAATGAAGTTATTTATGTAATTGAATTGTCTGTCCCCTTGACAAAAATGTCATTGACAGGATTCGGACAAAACCCTTTCCATAAACAAAAGTAATATCATCTTCCCGATGCAAGAGAGTTAACTGACTATAAAAGTCCAGTTTCCACCCTTGTCGAACTAGTTGGTTTTATGGAGTTACATCTGGCTGGACTAACGAGTCTTATCCATAGTCCAATCACAATCGCGCAATGAAATCGAAATCCGGTTCGTAAACTTTCGTGCAGATTTCGGTCGATTGCAGTATTGGCATTGCATGTGCACCGCCAACTCGTTGTCAACAGATATTTTCCAAATCTTTTCATGTTTATAATCAAGGTTCTCACGTGATTTGATGCTCTTCGCGATGTAAGACCCGTTTTATCACACCATAGATGTTGATTATCGATCAGATCGTCTTGACAGGGCCCCGCCATTTTGTTTGAAACAAATGCAAGTGATACGAGAGGTGGAATCTGATTGGCCCATAGGAGAGACTCAGAAGGGACGTAACTCGTAATAACCACTGGTGGCGCTACGGTCGAGCCCAGGTATTCCAGCCTTGTTCGGCAAGGGTGGAAACTGGACTTTTAAAGTCAGTTAACTCTCTTGCCTCGGGAAGATGAAGGAATATCTGCTAAAAGTAGAGTCCATTGTACGATTCCGACTGTAGTATTAGCATGTGTTTACATTAGTTTACATTTCTTTTAAAAACATAATTAAATACGCCATCGTGTCAATGGTGCATCCCTCGATTGTCTTGTTGGTTCTCAGGACGCCGTCGTATGGCAAGAGTACTGCTGTGAGGTGTCTGGCAATAAACAAACAAACAAACAAACAAACAGTCTTTTATTGAAATTGTTAGAATGGCGTGTGTGATCGGTATTGCAGGACCCTTATCACTGATTTTCAGGGCGGGGAAAAATAACTTTCCCCGCTCGCTGTTTGCCTTTTACGCCTAATTTTTAGATAATCGAGACTGGTTATTCTCTGGTGTTGACTTTCTATATTAATAAACCACTATGAAATAGTGATGATGCAAGACGTTCGTTTTCATACAAAGAATACAGACGTCCGTCTCCCCATTGACCTCATATCAGGAAGGTGCCTGGGTTCTCCAAGAGCACAGCTCTTCCATCAATCTGGGTAATGCAGAAGGCTGCAGTGTTGGGGAGTCTTCACATTCTCCGAAAAGTTCGGGGTGGGTTTGACTAGGTAGCGCTTCCTGGGAGAAGTCCCATTCGCTGTCTGGGCTGCGTGTAGAGGGGGCAAGGGCCATGAGCTGATTATGAGCCTAACCAGCCTGACTGTGCCAGGATCACCCAAACCCTCTTTGCTGCATTTTTTATTTTAATACTAATAATGATGATGATGATGATGATGATGATGATGATGAAGATGATGATATTGACGATGATGATGACGATGATGGTGTCCCTGTTCACGAAAACACCTCCAAACTAACATATCATTATGCCACTCGTGAGTTATATCTGTGATTTAATAAAATAACCACACTTTGTAAAAACGTGATGACGCAGCCAGGCTGAGATTCAGCTCCCGATTAATGTGGTTCGTCTGTATATAAATGGTTTATTCTCTATACGACATGCATAATGTATCGCCATTGTGTCTCATAAAACCATTCGTATTACTGCCATTGTTCTTGTTCTACATAAATCTCCACTCATATCATATTCATCACGTTGCAAATTTAACATTTATTAGTGCCTTAATAAGAATGGCCATCGTTCTCAGATTGAACAGAGGGCACATATACCTCCCATAGATTCTAAGGCCTTCACTACGAAATGACCAGCTGTCAATACCCTTGTGTATCTGGGGAGACCTAATAGCTTCCATTTCGTAAACTGACCACCCCCGCACAATGCATTCCAAACATCCCCAGAGACGCTTGTGATTACAGATTCAAAGACGATGACTAACGTGCATTAAGGGACACCATTAACAGACTTTGCTTATGTTGAGGATTGCGAGTCAAATCGTTGTTAATTATATCCCCAGAAGGCTAATTCTTCCTGAACACGTTATGTTATAACCTGTCATCCGTTGGACTCATAAAATAAACGATCGGGGAAGGGTCACAGAGGTCATATCCGGCGGTTAATATTGTCCAGTAAAATTGACACCCTGTCTGTAGGTAAACGCGGAACCTGGCTCGTGTTAATCATATATAAACTCGAGCAAGTTGCACAGGTATCACACGTATACAGCCTCTGAAGCCGGAACCAAGACGTTGCTGGCCAGTAACAGGGATCATCGTTTTTTAAGCATATCAAGGTAAGTTGCACGACTTTTATTTTTAATCTGCGTTGCAATATTTGTTAGAGTTGGTAAGCAGATTTCCTTTATTATTTTATTTTAAACTTGACGTTGTCCAAACATACATGTTTCATCAGCATTTCTATTTAGTTAATTAGTAATAATAAATGGCTGCCTCTCTGCTTTTCAGGTTAAATTAAGGAAGTAGTTTGGCGAAGAACCTTTCAAATGATTGCTATTCGTGTCGAATTGTTTATTATAAATTCATATTTCAAACTAGACTTTACGTGTTTTTTCAGTATATTAGACAACAATAGTATCTGGGATTTATTTCCATAGTTTGAAGGGTCACGTGTTAAATGTTGAAACTCGACATGTCGAAATGTCAAGTTCAATCGTGAGGCCCATCCTGGTGCTGTGTGTATCTTGACATGACATGTCACTCGTATCGTGGCTTTCTATCACTCGACCCTAAAAAACGACACTATTAGGGACAAAATCCAGTTTAAGGGGTATATTTATAATCGCCGAGTCTGGGAATCACACTTACGAAATAAAGAGTAACGCTCAACGATCCGTACATATTGTGTCAAAGCACGAGACGTGGCCATGATGGATACGTTCATAGCTTTGCCACTACCCAAGGTGGTGTTCGTTCATGTAAAAACTCTACATTCCGCCCACAATTCACAAAACAGCTAAATGACAAATGTAGAATTTGAAAGTACAGTTTTTCTCATACCACCGTCCGGCGCGGTGGGTTAGCCCAGTGGTAAAAGCGTTCCTACCGAAGGCCCGGGTTCGACTCCACATGGGTAGGATGTGTGAAGCCCCAATCTTGTGTCCAACGCAGTTATATGTGAAGAATATTGCTCTCTCCCTACCGAGAGCTCATGTTTGATTTTGCTGCGACCACAAACGAAGGGTCTTTGAAAAAAATAATATATCTGTTAATAAACGAATAAAATAGGATTTAATGAGTTTCGTAATTCGAAAAACGAATAACGAATAGTGAACCCACGTTAAATACGGTATCTTATATTTGTTAGACCAAGTCTGAACAACGAACCCTGTGCTGGTTTGTTTTTCGTTATTCAAAAGTACTGAATAACTAAACAGCTTTTGGGTGATGATGTAAGACGAACCTGCTGTCATATATTAAATGAGTTTCAGTGTACTTTACCACATTACTGCAGTTGTTTAAAATACAGCCTTTGAATAACAAACCCGGTGCTGGCTTGTTTTTCGTTATTCGAAAAACGAATAACGAATAACGAACCCGCCGCTAACTTCAGGCCCCTGAAATAGTCCCATATTACGCTGACATGCTGTGATATAACTGAAATACTCCTGCATTACGCTGATATGACGTGATATATATGTATATCTCCTGCATTACGCTGACATGCTGTGATATAACTGAAATACTCCTGCATTACGCTGACATGCCGTGATATATATGTATATCTCCTACATTACGCTGACATGCTGTGATATAACTGAAATACTCCTACTTTACGCTGACATGACGTGATATATATGTATATCTCCTGCATTACGCTGACATGCTGTGATATAACTGAAATACTCCTACCTTACGCTGACATGACGTGATATATATGTATATCTCCTGCATTACGCTGACATGACGTGATATATATGTATATCTCCTGCATTACGCTGACATGCTGTGATATATATGTATATCTCCTGCATTACGCTGACATGCTGTGATATAACTGAAATACTCCTACTTTACGCTGACATGGCGTGATATATATGTATAACTTCTACATTACGCTGACATGACGTGATATATATGTATATCTCCTGCATTACGCTGACATGACGTGATATATATGTATATCTCCTGCATTACGATGACATGCTGTGATATATATGTATAACTTCTACATTACGCTGACATGACGTGATATATATGTATATCTCCTGCATTACGCTGACATGACGTGATATATATGTATATCTCCTGCATTACGCTGACATGCTGTGATATATATGTATATCTCCTGCATTACGCTGACATGCTGTGATATAACTGAAATACTCCTACTTTACGCTGACATGGCGTGATATATATGTATAACTCCTACATTACGCTGACATGACGTGATATATATGTATATCTCCTGCTTTACGCTGACATGCTGTGATATATATGTATAACTCCTACATTACACTGACATGCTGTGATATAACTGAAATACTGCCGGGTCAAATAAAAAACCCGTTAAAATATGGTACTTCTTGTTACCCTGTCTGGCGTTCGGCATTAAGGGGCTAAAACAAGGACTGGTCGGCTCGGAGTCAGTATACTGTGTCTGAGTTGGGAGTTCATGTTAAACTGCGGCATGGTATCCAGACTAGTGCAAGCAGCCACACACACGCACGTGCAAGTGCAATAATCTTAAGCTTGGACGCGACGTTAAACCCAATTTCACCTCGCCTCACCAAATGTGTAGGTAAGACTAACATGTGTTTAACAAGCTAATCTTCGAGGATTTTTTCGAATATTTGAGATGGGTTCGTCATTCCCCCAGCTGAAGAGAAAGTAGTACAAACATATGGTAAGACATTCATCTTGGATCACACGCTTATGTCATACTTACGTATTTAATCTTGACAGAAGTCCAAAAAGTGTAAGAAAGAAAGAGGGTAATACTATCCATCTGCCATTTATACAAGTTTGTTGATTCTCATACGAATAGTCATATAGCTGGAATATTGCTGAGTGCGGCGTTAAACAACAAACAAACAAATATTTTCCGACTCCTTAAAGGTTGACATTTCCAGTGAGACATTTCAACATATTCATAATCTTTTTACCAGTATTTTCTGCAACATTAAAGATTGACATTTACAGTGAGGTATTTAAACATATTTGATTATTTTTATATCAATATTTTCCGCAAGTTTAAAGCTTTCTCGAGCGCAAAATGCGCCCTTATTTTATACCGCCTTTGTTAAGTGGCTTACTGTGCAGCATAACTATTTTTAAAGTTTATCACCTAATCAAAATACTGCCCACTATCAAATGCAAGTTCTATTGGAGATGAAAGGAGAGAACGAGCTTGTTTCTGTAACTATTCTTCAGCTGCCATTTGATAGCTTATTTAACATCATTAAGAAATAAATTACTTCATTTTCTTCAAGTAAATGTAATCTGTTTTATAAAAATTACGAATATAGATCTAAAGATATTTTTTCATTAAGGCTACACAAATTTGTTTGCCTACGCCAAGCATCTTACAAGATTAAGAAAAAGAAATCGTTTAATGAATATTTCTTCATCATACGTTGATTAGAACCAAGATTACATAGATGGTTTTTTTTATAAGTCTACGACTATATAGTTTCGTTAAATTATGAAATTGAAGCGTTCATGTAAATTAGTAGTATCCCCATGGGAACTACATGTGTCCCCCTCCAAGCCGATCTGTTTCGCTTTGCATACGAATTGGATTTTTTTACTACTTTAGATAAATCAACGAAATGACACGTTGCCAAGAAGTTCATCTTCAGTTTCAGATGTATAGCTGTTCTCATTTATTTCATTAGTGCCAAGATTATTCGTATCTTAAACTAAAGAGAGGAAATCAAAGAAATAATTAAAACAACACTTTTAGTGTCCTGTCTGGATCTCTGCATCGAAATTTAAGATGAGGCAACCTCTGCACCTCTGTATGACAAGAAGGATGAGTACAATATCCTCTTTATGTCGAGCAATGAACATGACCAGTTCCAGCTTATGGCGTCTACATTTCGCAGCTGCTAAGGTATGCCTGATTAATGTTAATCGCAGAATAACTGTCAAAAAATGGCAGTCATATTAAATGAACTACACGATTTGGCGTCCATTGCTTCCCGAGGAGGGCGCGGATTATGCCGAGTGGACCCGAGTGGGTCAGGCAGCAATCCTGAATTCAGGATCTGCGATGTTTGCCTTATCAAACAACGTATTTCGTTGTGTGTACCCAAACCTTATTCGATTAAACTGGATACATATATTAGTTTTAGGTGTTGCATAGTTACTTTGAATTCCTTGATTATGTTAACACGAATAGCACATCAAGTCAAGCAACGTTGTTCGCCCAGGAGGTGGAAGTGTTACCTATTTTGGCAAACTTATGAGTCCTGTCTCATCCTGAAACACGTCTCCTTAGGCAAGTGACTTTGTTCGAAAAATACCTCTGTTCAACCCGCAGTAAATGGTCCCGGCAGAGTGAGTGAGTATGGTTTTACGCCGCTTTCAGCAATATTCCAGCAATATCACGGAGGAGGACACCAGAAATGGGCTTTACAGTAGTATAAGGTGGTACATTAAAATTCCTCAAAAGGCAGCGTGGGTAGCATACTCCCAAGGGAGCTGAGAATGTAATTCAACAGCACACTGATCCATTAATATGGGTAACAATAATGAAGGGTCGTGTCCATGTATTTGGGAAGTGGAATCTGGTGCATTATTAGTGGACTTATTACTAATATTGCAGATTAAAAATTATAAAAATGCAGCAAGGCGGGGGGGGATCCTGGCACAGTCAGGCTGGTTAGACTCATAATCAGCTCAGAGCCCTTGCCCCCTCTACACGCAGCCCAGACAGCGAATGGGATTTCTCCCAAGAAGCGCTGCCTTGTCAAACCCACCCAGAACTTTTCGGAGAATGTGAAGACTCCCCAACACTGCAGCTTTCTGCATAACCCAGATTATCAGAAGGGCTGTATTCCTGGTAGCAAACCCGGGTACTCTCCCAATGTCAGTCAACAGATTGGGAGGTACCAAACCTAAGGCACCGAGAACAATGGGGAGTCGGACAACTTGGTACTTGGGATGCAAGCGTGACATATCGAAAGCGAACTCCGCATATTTGCCATGTTTTGCTTCAATCTTGTCAATGACATTACTGTCAAAAGGGACAGAAGGTTCAATGATTAGGTTTGATTGCCTTGATAGGTCTGAGGCTGTATACGGGCCTATTCCAAAGAATCTTGTATGTAAC